GTCAGTGAGCCCTTGGACAGCTATCTGGTAGCCTTACTTGCGCTTGTCAGTGCTGGAGCTTTCAGAGGTAGAAGATGCATTTCTCTGAAGGGTGGGCTGAACTCGTGCTGTCCTGTTCTCCCTTTCTTTCTCCTTCCTCTCATTCTCTTCTTCACACTGGGCAGGTATAATAAAAGAAAAAAATCACCTTTAACGTTAAACTACACAGACTATTTTGCAAGCTTGAATTTTCGTTAACCATGAGGCTATTCCTGGAATCAAAGGGGACACCCTGGATGGGATGCCAAGTTTGCTCAACAATTACGATAATAATAAAAACAATAACTATATACAAGTAGCTAGAAAAGTTTCCACCCTGCATGTTTGAAGAGTCTGCCAAGTAATAATCTTGTAAGCTGTAAGATGTGAAAAATCTGTAAATCTCTTTCATCTGAGGTGACTTTAGGCAATGTACTGCAAATTAAATGAAAACGACAATGAGAAAATTTAACTCTGATAGCTGGATCACCAGACCACATTCTCTCTCGACCAGCAGCTGCTTCTACACATCTATTTTTTGTTTTTATAGCACATTCTATTCATATTCCAGCTAACAAAAATTAATTTCATATTAAATTGTAGGATACTTTGTATAGAAGCTGATATCATTTCTAACCTGTAGAATGTCAGAGACTGCCCTCTCTTTCAGTTAACACAAAATCAGATGGTGAAACATACAGTTTTAGACAGCAGACATATGAAACAGAGCAGACTTACAAAGAATATAAAGACACTTATGATATAGGCAGATATTTGGCAGGTGAGAAATACAAGAATGAATCTGGCAACTGTGAAACAACCAGACAAACAAGGAGGGGTGACTGGCCTCTTTAGAAAAAACATCTTATATTCTAACAGTATCATACCTTTCATAAAGACAGTGAAGAACCAGATTTATTGTTTTTAATGTGGTAGTTTTAATTAATTTTCTTTAAAAGTAATAATTTCTCAGTGATAATTTGGAGATTCCAGCTGTCGCATCATCTAGGTTGGTACTAAACAGTGGTAGTGGTGGAAATGGCTCCCCATTGCTTCTGTTAAAGCACTTTGGGTGTCTTGAAAAGCGCTATATAAATGTATCATTCTTAGATTTTACTGTCTTGCTAGTTGAAAAGTTTAATTCATTTGCCTGTTATAGTACATATGACTTCACTACGCAAGAAAAAAGAAGCCAGCTTACCGTCTTGGAGAGAGTAACAGTAGGTGGGAGAGTTTTTTCGCTTTCTGGGCTTGACATGGTGGAGTTTTCTGAGGGGATGAAAGCGAAACAGAAACTGTTGACTATTATGCCCACAAATTCAGTTACCAGCATCTAAAAGCCAGAGGAAACTGTCTTTGAATCGGCTAAAAAGTGTGATTCAGAATGTGTATCAGTTACCGCGTCAGTTAGAAATGAATACATTTGTTTATACTTTTGTCCATGGACATGAAAGGGTCTTGCCAAGGCCCACAGGATTCAAACCCACAAAATATTGTACATGGGCACTATTCCGAACCTACTGAGCTACAGACTGATAGGTTTTTCAAATATTATTTAACCTTGAAAATTTTGTTTGTCAAATTCCCCCCTCTTCAGTAGCAGCTGGGCACTTAGGGGTCAATTCTCCCATCAGGTGCTTAAGTCAAAAAAAGCTCTTAAAAAGTTACACACTAGAAGCTACACACTTTTGACTTAACCTGAGAGTGGCTGTGCAAGAAGTATAACTAATTCATCAAGCGAAAAAAAAAAAGGGGGACGGGACGGGACGGACGGACGACACCCTCAATGATACTGGCACTATAACCGAAACGGTGATGTACTGTACACTGGTTTTTGCTGCTATACTGCGGTTAATATATTTTTATCCGAGTTCCACGTTTTAATTATCCCTCAACCATATTCCCCAAATGGGCCCTACTGTCACAATTTTAAGATCAAATAATACAAAAGTAGATCAAATGTGGATAGATAAAATGTTTTTGAATCTTTCAGCTTCATTGCACGTAACCCACAACGGACAATCAATCAGTATCATAAGATGCACGGTCATTTCTTTGATTGTTTTTTATTGCCAATTGTTTTACTCTGCAACCAATTAACCGCAATAGAAGCAAAATTCGACATTGAAGAAAATAACGTAATTTGAGTCTGTTGTCAAACAAATTTTCAGAATTAGGGAAAATTGATACGTTACAGTAACGATTTTGTGAGAATGACCAATATTGCATTTAAGAATGAATCCATGTGCATTTGGGCTCTCTTTTCCTCATTAGTCAAAACAAGTCAGTAAACAGGCAAAAATGCTAACCAGCAGATATGGTGTAAATGTTAGGATTATTAGTGGCATGGACTGAAAGTTTAGAGTGCATTGCTGATATCATTATGTAATCAGTGTGTCCCTTTTCAGCTAACAGCTGCCACTCTTGCTGGCTTTCAACAACATTTTGGAGTGTTTCTGTGGGAATTTTTGCCCATTCAACCAGAACAGCATTTGTGAGGTCAGGCACTGCTGTTGGGCTTGAATGCCTGACTCGCAATCTCTGTTCTAGTCCATCCCAAAGGTGTTCGATGGGACTGAGGTCAGGGCTCAGCGTGGGCCAGTCAAGTTCTTCCACACCATGTCTTTATGGACCTTGCTGTGTGCACTTGGATAGAAAAGGGCCTTCCCCAAACTGTTCTCACAAAGTTGGACGCATAGAATTGTACAAAATGTCTTGGTACGCTGAAGCACTGAGAGTTCCCTTTACTGGAACTAAGGGGCCTACCCCAACCTCTGAAAAAAAACCCCATGCCATTATCCCCCCTCCACCAGGTGTTACATTTGGCACAATGCAGTCAGGCAGGTAATGTTCTCCTTGCATCTGCCAAACCCAGACTCATCCATCAGACTAACAGACAGAGAAACAGGATCTGTCACTCCAGCTGCTTGGCCATGGAAGCCTCTTCCTGGCACATAGTTTTTCTGCTGGAGTTAATGTCAGAGGAAGTTTGGAGCTCTGTAGTTACCGAGTCAACAGATCATAGGCGATTTTAAGCACTAAGTGCCTTAGTACTTGGCAACCCCTATCTGTTACTCTACATGATCTGCCACTTTGTGACTGAGTTTCTGTTGTTCCTAAACGCTTCCACTTTGAAATAACACCACTTACAGTTGACCGTGGAATATCTAGCAGGGAAAAAATTTCACAAGCTGACTTCTTGCAAAGGTGCCAGCCTATGAGTCTGAATGAAACACCTGAATTCAGTGATTAAGAGGTGTGTCCCAATTCTTTTGGCCATATAATGTACTTATATCCTGTCAAGGTTAATGTCCAATTTGCTCTACTTATTTAGCAAATTAGGGTAGATTAAATTGAAGGCCCGCAGAGGACTGAGCCTTACCAGGGCTGCTCTCTCTTTCCTCCTCCCTCAGTTCCAGCCCTCCAGGGACCCCCTTCTCCTTTGACTGGTCTTGCACGTTCATCTTCTCTCTGCTGCTCATCCGGCACACGGAGCTCCTGAAGCAGGAGTTAGCAGACATATGGTATGAAGCCCTAGTAAAATATTATTTATAACTGTAGGGCATTCATGGCAAAAGGAGAACCAAAGTAATTCTGTGTATGTTTTATCACCACTAATAAAACCACTTATGTAGTACAGTTTTGTAGGGTGGCGCAGCATAAACCAGGAAACATAGGGCACAAGGCATGGGACACCGCGGATGGGGCGCAGCATCAAAACAAACAACGCCACCTTGTGGCCAATAGAGGGACAGCGAGCCATCCCAAAATCCACATCTCTGACATGTGGGAGGAAATGACAGCAGAGCCCGGCGGGACTCATTAATGCAAACCGATGCGGAACATGAAGTGAGGGATAGAACAGACCTTCGGTTTTTGCTGGATGTGTTGGCAGCGGCAGGTTCCACCACGTTTTGTCGCTCGTTCACAGACTGTTCACTGCGCCACTGAAAAAGGGAGCGTCTCCGTTAGCAGGTTTTCATCAGAGCAGATATCATTTCTGTCGTCCAATAGAAATCATGGCAAAGCAGAGTATTTAAATGACTGACATGTTCCTGTTTCTGCGAGAGCTCCTCCAGCAGGACTTTCATGCTTTCATCAGCCACATCAAACGGAGTCTGACCCTGGAAGACAGACGAGAGCACATGCATGTCAAATGAGTCCTTACTGGCTATATGAAATTCGGTTGATAATTTTTATGAGTTTGCACTTGTATGACACTTTGGACAAAAGCGTCTACTAAATAAATGAGTAAATCTAAGCACTGCTCTAGAGCTCCTCACCGCGTTGCTGCGGGCCTCCATGTTGCAGAGATGCTCAGCCAGGATCCTGCAGGCTTCTCCCTGTCCCCAGTGTGCTGCCGCGTGGAAGGCCGTCCAGCCATCGGTGTCCGTCAGGGACACATCCATCCCGCAGTGACACAGCAGTCTAGGCCAAAAGAAACACAGCCAATGCCAACAAAACAATAAGCCAACAAAAGAAGGAAATGCGGCGATAAAACTGGCCCTACCTGCAGCTCTAAGAGGAAAAAGATTATTAATGTACATTTAACTAGACAGTGACATGTTGCATTTATTATAACTGTATATTTAGTTTGGTAGCAACACATTTTCTTAACCTGCAGGATTATAATAATTATTACCTTGACAAATTGATATTAGGGATTTTGCTTCATCATTCTATGCATTTAATTGCAGACCTAGGCCTAATTATATAAATCCGGACACACCTTTCGTAACTTCTGTAATTGTTGTCTATTTTATTGATATGAACTCTAGCTGTCGCTATCAATCTATATATAGGCTACGTCAATCTAATAAAACATGTCCTATTTTATTAATGCTTGCTGCCACTGTTCAGCTAATTATACATTAATAATCTAATAAAACATGTTGGTTATACCATCAAGCTAAATGCAAGTGATTTTTTAATAATAATAAAAAAACACCTTTAAAACATTTGTAAATGTACAGTTTCAGAAACACTGGTCTAAGAAACACATCCTGTATTGCGACATCTGTGTGACACACCAGAGTGCCCCTCCCACCTACAAGTTAGTTAGTCTGGAGCCACGTATATACAGTCCTCATGAGATAAGATTGCGATCATATGAGGATGAAAATGGCACCATGAATCAGACAAACACGAGTTACGTAACGGTGCCTTTCTTTCAGTTTCCCCTGAGTCATTTCATCGTCTGATACATGCGTCAAACAGCATTTAGATTGCCTGCTGAATCCTGTCGTCAAAAAACACCAACATTTCATAACAGGAAACTAAAATCATGCATTTGGAATGGTGTTATTCAGAACTAAGCATTACGTTTTTGTAAAGGTTCGATTTCTTACACATAAATATAAGAACATTTTATGTGAAATGCAAAAATTGTTCCACAAATTTTAAGATGTGTCTATCAGTTGAGACAGTGGCTGAATATGGAAGCAAATAAGGTGAAATGACACCTGGATGCCCAATTAGAAGTCAGCAGACAACCCTAAATGACATGTGGAATGATGGAAGTATGGCTTAATTAGCATTAGCATTTTATCAGCCTGTTTACTCCAACCTATGCATAACAAGGGGATGATACCTCTACATCTACACCAAGAGAGGAGAGGTAAGGATCATGCACTGATTACAGTGTGTTGCTGAACCCACCACATAACAAACCATTTCAGGAATGAGAACCTGAGTGCAGCCAGTGTGAGGTTTTTCCCTGTAAGTTGGAGAACCTCCTTATAGGGCTGGATGTAGATTAACTTCATACCAATGACAAAGCAATTGTAGGTTAAGGGCCTTGCTCAAGGGGACCAACGAAGTAGAATCATTCTAGACAGAGAATTAACCGCCAACCTTCCAGTTGCTGGCACAGATCCCTAGCCTCAAAGCCAACACTCCATCTACGCTAAGAACCTTAAAAAATAAAGCTGTAGCAAAGAACCTAAAAGCTTTCACTAAACCCTGCAATACAACTAATCTGTTAAAAATTAATTCTGTACAAACCTCCCAACACTAGCAGATTGTCAAATATTAAATACTCATTTTCAGCTTTAACAACAAGGCTTACTACAAATCTTCACACTAAATCCTTAAGTACTAGCAACCAACACAGTACGGCAAGCTGAAACTGGCCATTAACACTACCCGACAAACTTCAAACATTTGTGACCTCATCGGGAGAATTTCAGAATTCCAGGCATAGTAGATTTTCTTCTTCCAAGCTTACAATCAAGCTCCTGGAATGTGTTCTGCACAACAGACAACCTACATTTACCAACATTATTAGGACTATGGACTTGGAGAACCAGTTTCCCTGCTTTGGCCTCAAGCGAAGTTTCCTGCAGAAACCCCTTACATGCGTGCACATGCATCCCAGCGATCTATCATCGTTAGTATCCACACATCCACAAGCAGAAGCCCAAGTCCCCTGCGCCCGTCCATTCCAGTCTTCTCACAGCTACAGAGATCATACCAACATCATGAAGAGAAACCTCTGTGTTTCTCCAAAAAGGGCCCCAGTGGAACACAACTGAAATTATACTGGCTATAATAATAATAAAAACAAATAACTTGTTTTCAATCCCAAGCCAGATATGATCTCTCTGTGCCACCAATATAAAAGTGTTGTTATTCAGCACTCCATAGACATCCATCAAAATTGTTGGAGTCTCCTAAGCTATTCAGGCCAAGCTATTACGTCTGCAAAACCGATTGACAGGTTCAACGTATATGTGGCTGGAGTGGAATGTCATACATCATCGCTTTTAACAACCCAGAGAGGAACTTATGAAGGGTGTGGGCCTGTTTAAACAGTAAAATGAGATATGGTGAAACACACAAAAAAATCACGAGTGAAAAAACTTGTCCACACCTCTTAGCTTAGTACAAACAAAAACAAGAGTTTTATTTCTCAAGTATTTTGACTCGCAAGAATATTTAAACAGCATCCACATTTTAATAATAAAAAGACAAGTATTCTGGCCACACTGAAGGCAGTTTCACACCAAGTCTGTTTTTTTGCATAAAGAAATCAAACATCATTTCGAAACGAACAAATGTATTTCTGTGAAGGCTTTCACACCAAGTCTGACACATTCTCGCTGTCGTGATCTGTCATTTTTTTTTATTCTGAGACTGGATTTCCGCAGTTTTTGGATAAATTTAAGAACAAATGACCAATAAGATGTCAGTTTTTACACGTGATCAGTTTTTTTTTTAATTGGAAGGAAACCTTTCATTAGGTTTACAGCACTAACCTGCTATGATGGGCAATACCACTGATTTTCTTTCTGATATGCTTTTATTTGAACCAAGCTACTGCAGATACTGACATGCAGTGCCGGTCCAACCCTGACGATAAATAATTGCTAAGCCGGGGGGAGCAGTGGGATGTGGATCAATCATTCCCTTTTCCTATAGTGTCTAGGCAACTCCCCCTTTTCCCCTGCAATGTGCAGCCCTGTCCAACATTAGTTTATGTCCTACTCTTTATAATAATATAAATAATTAAATTAGAAGGTAAAAAAGTAATATTTATCATTAGGATCAATTCTCAAAATTCTCAACATCCATTCAAAAAAATCGGTCCTAGCCTATCTGATTACAAGGGGCCTGTTTAGCTGCCTGCAGCTCTTCTGCTCGCTTATGTTTACGTTGGTTTCTCATTCATTTTTTTAAGGTTTTATGATATGCCTCTTGGATTATATTAAACTGTGACTATTTGTAAATATATTTATTTTTTGTCTGTATACAGTCAACATCCAAATCAATAAGCTCCGTTTTCTCTATTACTATAGTTAATAATTTGTTAAACAATGATGTTGCTACCTTGTTTTCAATACTAATTTTGTTTATCGTGAAGTACAGTCGTAAAGTATAAGCTTATTTAGAACTGGATGCATTCGGTACCTCTGCTGCTTGACACTACTCTGACAATTTCTTCAGTATGTGAACTTTTATCGGTCAGTTGCGAAAATGTTGCATCATGCTTGCTGTGAATGTCTCTGATCTGTCAAATTTGCATCCAGATATTTTGCAAATTTATGTCTTTTTGTGTCATGTTCGGTGCAAAATATCCTTTAATAGGGACAGCGACTCACTTGATGACCTCAATGTATCCTTTGGCAGCTGCTACATGCAGGGGGGTGGCTCCCGTTTTGGGGTGTCGGAGGTCAGAGGGCAATCCCTCAGAAAGCCATGTCCTTGCATCTCTCATGAGGTGCTCTTCCTCCTCCCTCTTCACTGTAGCTACGTCGATACCTGAAAGGAAGATACAGAAACCTCAAAATAATTAGCTACATACTGCGCGATTAGCATGGCAGGATTCTATCCAGGAATCGGTGCCTTTAAGGAACCTTGGAGCTCAGACAGCCCATCAAATCTGTGCTTTGAATTCATTATAACAGCCAAAAGCCATGGAAAATGTAACCTGTATATAAGTAGTATCCCATTGTACTGTGTGAATCATCACAACCACCCCTTTTTTTTAACGCGCCGCTTGAAGAAATACTCCCATTTCTGGCAAAAGCATTCCTTCAGGAAATTGTCAGTTCCAGAATTCTATTTAGCACTAATAAAGAAAAATCTCCTGGCCAACATAAATCAATAGAGGACACAAACAAAGATAAATCAAGAAAATTTCTATACGTTTTGTGCAAGATTCAAGAAAAGCTACTGCATGCTAACAACTCTTAAGGAAAACGTGAAGTTCAGTGACCTGTTTATTGAATGACTACAAATAAAAATGTGCAAAGTCTTCTGTAAGACAATAATAAATGTACAGTAAAACCTCGGACTGCGAGCATAATTCGTTCCAAAGCACTCGTATATCAAAGTGAACTTTCCCAGTAGAAATAATGGAAACTCAGATGATTCATTCCACAACCCAAAAATATTCATAAAAAATGATTAATACAAAATATAAAGTAAAAAAATACATAAAACAAAGTAACCTGCACTTTACCTTTGAAAAGAATCGTAGATGGTGTGAGGGAGACATTTACATTTACAGCATTTGGCAGACGCCCTTAGCCAGAGCGACTTACATGAGACGAGAGAGAGAAGAGGAGGATTATTTTGTCGGATGACTTTCACTATAACTAATGTAATCATTGCTCTCTGTTGGCTGACTGGAATCTTTTTCTTTTTGTGTGACTTTAACAAGGAACCTATCCAATGACCGCCGCTTTTGCCTCCTTTTCGCAGAAATGTGGACATCGCATTGTCGTTAAACAGATTCATCGCTTGCACTGCTACGCCCTTGTTTGGGTGGTGCTTTTCTACTATACGAGTGACCACTCTACATGTGCTTTGTGGACTTGGAGAAGGCATTTGACCGCGTCCCTCGGGGAGTCCTGTGGGGGGTGCTCCAGGAGTATGGGGTGCCGGGCTACTTTTTAAGGGCTGTTTGGTCCCTGATCGACTGGTGTCAGAGCTTGGTCCGCATTGTCGGCAGTAAGTCAGACTCGTTTCCGGTGAGGGTTGGACTCCGCCAGGGCTGCCCTTTGTCACCGATTCTGTTCATAACTTTTATGGACAGAATTTCTAGGCACAGCCAGGGCGTTCGGTTTCGTGACCTCAGGATTAGGTCTCTGCTTTTTACAGATGATGTGGTTCTGTTGGCCTCATCAGACCGTGACCTTTGGCTCTCACTGGAGCAGTTCGAGTGTGAAGCGGCTGGGATGAAAATCAGCACCTCCAAATCCGAGACCATTGTCCTCAGCCGGAAAAAGGTGGAGTGCTCTCTCTGGGTCGGGGAGGGAGTCCTTCCCCAAGTGGAAGAGCCAGATTTGGTGGCTCCGGCATCTGATTAGGATGCCTCCTGGACGCCTCCCTGGTGAGGTGTTCCTGGCATCTCCCACAGAGAGGAGGCCCCAGGGAAGACCCAGGATACACTGGAGAGACTATGTCTCCCAGCTGGCCTGGGAACGCCTCGGAATTCCTCCAGAGGAGCTGGATGAAGAGGCCGGGGAGAGGGAAGTCAGGGTTTCCCTGCTTAGACTGCTGCCCCTGCAACCCGATTCGGAAAAGTGGTAGATAATGTAGGGATGGATGGATGAGTGAGGGACGCCAACTGAGACCGAGCATGGGAAACAATTACCCACAATCCCGCAGTGAGAGAGAGAGAGAGAGAGAGAGAGAGAGAGAGAGAAGAACCATCAGCTCAGTTGTGATTACGTGACACTACGCAGACAAAGCATATACATAATACTCATATTGCAAGACCTCACTCGTTTATAAAGTTAAAATTAATTTTTAAATTTTGCTCGTCTTGCAAAACACTCGCAAACAAAGTTACTCGCAATCCGAGGTTGTATTTCTGCAGCCTTGCACCAGGTTCCACTACATCAGCAATGTCCTTGCCATCCTCTGCCTAGTCACATGTTTCTCTCAGAAAAAGTAAAGTTCAAAATCACTTTAGAAGCTGTATTGATCTATAAGTGGGAGGCTGGCTGGGTACTAGGTAAAACTGGTTGAAAAATATCCCAACCTAAAATCATAAGGCTCTGCATCAAAATGCCTAACCTCTTAAAAACAATGGCAGAGGACTCAAGCCCCTGCTGTGGTCTCCACAAGATGTAGACTGGCACTAAAATGTCCGGTGCTAGAGCATAGTGGTCTGTGTTTCAATGCCCAAAAGTTCACACAATCTTCAAGAACACCATAAGCTCAAAACTGTGCCTTACTCACCATTTACAAGTACAATTGCAATTTTGAGTCACAGTTTAACACCTACAGCTGTTAGTGAGCATCCCTGGAGTCACATTCTCGCAGTGCTTCCAAGCAGCCAGAAGCTGGCCCTTCAGCACGTTCATGTACATCACCTACAGCAGCTTGCTAAAATGTGACTGTTTGAAAGCAGTATCATCAATTTCGTTTGAAGATGAAAACATAAAGATAATCAGAGCATCAAAGTAAACACATAGCAATATTTTCAGAGTGTTCACTCCTGAAAACCTGCTGTGTCATTGCTGAATATCTTGGTAAATAGCTTACAGTTAGAGTCAGTTGCTGGTCAGCATACTCAGTATGGTAACTTGGCCTTTGAGCGGCCGACTTTCCAAAGCTAGATAATTCTATCATTTGCTATCTGGGGCACGGAGGAGCTCAGAGGACAGCACCTGAAGCCCCAGATTATTTTAAAGCCATACTGTTTATTACATATTTATGAAAAAGATATATTTGCATTACACTGCGAGTTGTATCTCTATTACTATGCTATTACTATCTTGAATTCTGCATCTATGAAGAAAAAGGAATTGGTTTCGGTTTGGTGCGTGACAAAACATTAGCCCCTAACTGAGCACTGTCGTGTTTGTTGTGATGATACTAAATATCAGAGAGCAAGACAAAGACGTTATTCAGCACTGGGTACTGACAACCAGCGTGACCAATGCTGTCCTGGTGATTTCTCCTGGTGAACAGGGGACCATCTGTATTCTGTTTTTATTGTATCTGTTCATACATTCCATCATCACTCTTTATTAACAAAAAAAAAAAAAGAATAGTTAAAAATGTTCCTGCTTCGGTGACAATCTCGGCCTGATGTCACACGCTCTGTTCCCGTTACTGATTAAATCAACAGATTCTCCTAATTCTCCTTTCATTCCACAAAACTGACAGCTTAATTGAACTTGTATACCCAAAATTCAAACTGCGCCACAATATTTTGGGAAGTGGATCTGTAAATACTTGCTGGTTCGAGCTCACAAGGCCAAAGAGCATCCCTGCATTAAGGCTTTAATCTAGGCACTATGATCTATGACTGAGCGATTGTGCAAACACTGCATTCTCTAACACTATAGCATGATATTCTGAAAAAGCTGCATAGCCTCTTTTAGACAAGCTAATTGGGACAGCTGGCTCATTCCAGCCTGAATGTGTCAAAATGGGAATCGAAGCAGATATTTATTCTTTATAATTAAAATACCACGGATTTCAACAACTGCTCTGGATCAATCTTTTACGCATCGGTCAGTCTCCAAATAAATTGATATGGCCAGGTCACAGTGACACAGGAAACTGACAAAATGCAACCCAACAGGTGCTGGCATCATTGACTAACGTCCTGTAAATCATCCCAGTAAGACAAGCACCCCCGTTCCATATGGCACAGCTAGTGACAGAGTTAGTGAGAGCACTCACCCCGTTGTAGGGTGTGTTGACGCAGCAAGGCCTCCGTGTCCTCGTCTTCGGCGATGTCCAGAGGGACATCACCATCACAGTTCACCTTACACACATCGGCACCATTCTGCAACAAGAAACTAGGACAGGAAAAGGCCCATTTAAAAAGACATACAGAACAAAGAATCGGGGGAGTTTAGTTAACAGGAAGCCTGTGCAGCACAGGACACCAGCCACACACACAGTCATCTCCAGACTGGCTTATCAGAGGGCTACACAGAACAGGACACCAGCCACATACTCTGTGATCTCCAGATTCCCACATGATGCAGCGACATGGAGTGGTGTCCAGCCTTCATTGTCAGCCTGATTGATGCTGGCGCCGTGTTCCAGGAGAAAGACCACCATCTCCGTGCTCCCATCTATACAGGCCTGAGTTGCACAGGGATTGAGACACTCAGGAGGACAAAAAGTGCATGAAAGATTTAGGAGGCCAGCAGTAGTAGTATAGCATATTAGCTATACAGTTCCTATGTTCCTTTCTGCTTTAATAGGCATACTGCAAGCATAGACCCCAAACATTGATTAAAGAAATTAAAATTAATTTTTGCTTCTACTGAACAAATTGCAGATGAATACCAAACCAATTAAAACAGAGCATTATTTTAAATATGACATAACTATAAGAAATTAAAGTGTAATTACCCCTTTCAACTCTTCTAAACTCAACAAAAACGTCTCTCAGAAAATATAAATAATTTATAAAATATAATCCTAAATAATGAAATATAAATGAAACATGGCAATTTAATACAACTGTAATGTCTCCCATTAAAATAATTAAGGCCCTTCACTATAAAGCTGCAAATACCATAATAGTCTAATAAAACATGTTGGTTATGCTATCAGGCTAAATGTAATTGATTTTATATATATATATATATATATATAAAATTAATAAAACCACACTTTTTTAAATGTTCATAATAGTTTTTTATATAGGGTAACCAATAAAACATGCCACAATGGACCTGAATATATGGCTACAATCAATAAAATGTGTTGGTATTGAGCTAAATATTATCTAATAAAACATGCAGGTTATACTATTAAGATAAACATGGATGACTTTTATACTACTGAACAAAAAAAAACACCTGTTTTAAAAGCATTTCAAATGTATTTTATTGATGTAAACAATTGCTGCCGTGGGGAGGGCGGAATTGCATCTTCACGACTATGTCATGGGCCAAACAGCTGAGCGACATCACAGGAGGAAGGACTTTGTACGTTGGCAGAGATTCGCATGACACCTCCATCTGATAGGTCTAATGTTTGCATGCCGAGTGTGAATGCATGCCGCATGTAAATAAAATTATTTCTCTTATTTATGCCGATTTAGGCAATCTTTTGCATCTCGCATATTCATATCGTGATGAAAATGAAGATACAATTTATCTATCAGTACTAGCCTGCATGTTATGCTGTAAAACGCATCTCATTTACAACACAGATAAAGTACCAGGTAAAAATATTTGCTATGAAAATATGTGCAATAAGTAATGCAGTTTGGAATACCTTAAGCCTGCAAATCAACAGCTCTTGTTCTACTAAAAAGTATAAAGGAGTCAACTCCCAAGAAGTGACACCCCATCCATCTGAAAGAGTAAGACAGCCTCTACCTGTGCATGATGCCCAAGTGGGCAGCCAGAAGGTCAGGTACACTTCTAACCAAGAGGAGCATCAAATGCACTCAATTGGGGGCCAAGAAAACCAAGGAAACTCAGTGGTCGAAGCATTACAACAGATCGTAATATTTGCATGCACAGCTAATATAAATATAGAAGCACCAAGCAGAAATGGGAATTTTTTTTTTTTACAAAACATCAAGTGTGACTACCTCTTACACGTCATTCTCTCACACGACACACTGGCTTGCGTAATATTACCAACTGCACTGCTTACAGCTCTTTTCCAAAAGAGATTCAGATCAATGACAACATACAAAATAAGACTCCTCCATGTAGTGATGATGGTAGAGGTGGGAAATATGACAAAAATATTTGATCTAATTTTTTTTCCAGGCAGGATCATGATCGTATCATGATTGCTTTTCATGTTGTTTTTTTTTTTCTTTTTAGGGACCAGCTCCTCCATGTCATTACGTTGCCAGTGTTCCCCCTACCATTATATTAGGGGGGTGCCCCGCCTCCCCAAGAGCACCTCCCACCGCCCCCCCTCCCCCCATGAAGGTTAAGTAACCTTGGGGAAACACTGGTTGCTAAAACAGGGAATGTGTTGCATGCTGCGTATTGCACGTTGAGACGAGGGCACAAATGGGTAGAGGAAGAAATCCAAGGCACTCCCTATGGTTTGCTATTACCACTTTTATCAGTGTGTTGAAACAGATTTGGCTGACAAAACAACTTTAGATGCGTGTACGAACCATAGAGCAACTGACGGAATGTGCAACGGTAGCACTATCGATCTCTCCGTAAAGGCAGACTGTAGAGGCATATTAATCACTCGCAATCTAATACTGTTGAATCACAAACTAGTACATGGGGACAGGATTGAGATACAGGAGTTTGGCACGTTCTCACTGCCCACAGCTTGTCTCTACAAGCTCCATTTGAAAACTGCCTTTGTATCTCATCCTGAGTAATGGTGTGTATGCAACCGCCTTTCATCCAAACAGGGCAGAATCACGCTTACAGGTACAGTAGCATTCTCGCCTGTGTCCTACGGGCAGCCGTGACCCAAACTAGGTGGGTAGACACAGAGGTACGACTGCATGGATTGCAACAAAATGTTAGAGCTGAATCCTTTTCCATGTCGCTGAGCATTTTCCTGTGAACAAGTGATGAATTTCCTTAAACATCTGACTGCACCTTCATAAAGTTTTTTCCAACATTCAGTGCCCCTGCATAGCACATTCACAGAACATTCATAAGCAGCATGTAAGTATACCTTAACATCCTAACAAACCGTAACAGCTTCAATATACATTAATAACAAACAACATTGTGTAATCATATAACGTTTGTTATTAATGTATATCAAAGCTGTTAAAGTATACTTAGATGCTGCTCATGAATGTTCTACACTAGTGGTCAAAACTGCGGAAACACTTACAGTTTTTAGAGGTTGCTGAACTTTATTCATCTCTTGCTCCGGTTACTTACTTAATCGTCCAATGTATGATATTTGTAACATTCTTTGATTGTTTATAAACATTACCTCCACTATTTATATATTATTTTTTAAAGCGTAATGCCAAAAATGCTAGGTATTTCCACAATTTTGGCCACTAGTGTATGAATGCATTATGAAGGTGCAGTTAATGTAACACGTTACCAAACATCCTATCCTTTGTTACCATTTAAATACAGATTCAAGTCCACACCTGTATGGCACTTCATTACTGTAACAGGACAGGCTGGAGCGACACCCTTCGCCCAGTAAGACACAGCGGCAGCTCCCACCTGGTGCAGTGCGGTGATCCCATCGGCGTTGGTACTGTTCACGATGCCCCCAGAACCTTCCTCGGGGTTCTCTTTCTTCCCCCCGGTGTCTCGCAGCATCTCACTGGCCTCGTCCGCGTCGCCGCTGGCACAGGCCGCGAGAAACTCAGCTGTTCTTTCAAACCGCACCCGTCGCCTTCACAGGAAGAAAATAATAGATATGTTCCTTGATTAAAGAGTGACGATTCACCTGCAGGCAAGTCATGAAGGACCATTCAAATTCAGAACTCATATTGACCTATAGTCTTCAGAGGACACACACTGTCGATGGTGAGCACAGGCAGACAGACCTGTCTCTGTATATTAACAGTGGCACATCTGTGAAAGGCACCAGCTGAGAACTTCCCCTGTCTCTCCGGACTCACGCGCCACAGAGCTCAACATCCATGATCAGAATGCTGCTGCTGTTACAGCTTTCTGAGACGCACAGACACACATCTGACAGTGCTCACAGAAAATCTTGGGGCTAAATTCAGTAAAAATATTGCGAAGGTATTGGTTTTATAAGAAAAATCATTACTTTATTCTTTTGTTAAGAAAAATATGTATCACATGAGCAACAGAACTGAATAAGTCAGTCAAAAAATTATGACACTTAAGAAAAGAATGTCTGCGCAGAAGATATGTGCAAATATTTGAATAGACTTTTGTTGTGAAACCAATAAATTTGTAACATTTTTACATAATTCAGCAAGGGTCCCAAGAATTTGCGAACACTATATATGCAGCACGACTACATTCATTCAAACATTTCTTTTCAATGATCAGAATGGGCTTTTCAGAATATGATGATCAGAAGTGTGTTTCAAAGGTTGTCCTGGGAGATTTCTGTACTGTTCATAATTAATCTGAACAGTGTTCACTGTGAACTCTGAATGTGACATCATATTCCACAGCTCCTAACTGAAGATGCAGCATGAAGATGCCCTGCAGAAAGGCTCCAGTGTAGGAAACAGCAGGCATGATGCTGTCTGCTCACCCACCCCTGTCAAAACCTGGCTGATTCCACTGGAACGACGCAGCATCAGCTGCGCTCATTTCCCAGTGATATTTAGGTCGTATGCTCTTTAGGGCAATGCATACTTCACTTTGCTGCATGCACTTACTGTCCTCACACAGGGTCAGTAACATAAAGCTCGTCATCAGAGGTGTGTGCCAGACTGTGCATATGCAGCACAGATTTTTATGTCTGGTAGACATCATGCACTTTGGTTAATGTTGCCTGCACATAGGCAAGGAAATTGACCAGGTGCTTCCAGTAAACCAATGAAGAAAGTAGAAGAATAATTGTTCCTGTAGGAGGTGCAGAAGTATCCCCATAGCTAATTTTTCATACTGTCTAGACATTATACCGAGGTATGTTTAAAGTTGATTTGCTGGCTTTATAGTATCTTTATAGTATGTTTAAAACCACTACTATTCTGAAATCTCAGTGATTCCACAGAGCACACATAAAATGAGATTCTTACATCATTTGGAGGGTGGTGTGTAGCATAGTGGGCTAAGCTTCTATGCTTATGACCAGAAGGTTGCTGGTTTGAGCCCTAGCCTCGGCAGAATAATCACATTAACCCCTGGCTCCAAGGATGCTCGCCCCTCTCATGGAGAGCAAAATGGGGTAGGCAAAAAGAATTTCCACATGGGGGTTAACAAAGTATCACTATTCGATTCCAAAATTAGCCGGGGGTGGGATCTCATCTTTAAGATGCCACAACATGCCATATTACCATAATACCATGTAAGCCCATGTTGGCCCTTTTCACTACACTGCTTGTATTTGTGTTTCCTGTAATATATCTGCCCTCGCCTGGTCCAGTGGAATATCACCTCTGCATGCATGCACACATGTGCAGACCATACACACACTTGGAAAAGTGAAGCATGAACTAGACTTTATGTATCCTTTTTAAAACATAGTCTAAAAGAAATAAATGATAAATCATCTTCAGACAGATGAGTCTAATAAAAATACCCATTTCCAATAAGCACACAGATTTCGCATTGCTGCCAAACCTCACGCTTAACATTCATTCATCTGGTAATATGCTGCTTGTATCATGTAATTTGATGCAAGCAGGATGACAGCAGACACCCAGTAAAATGCAGTGCTGAGGTCTATCAGGCAGCATCCAGGAGCTGTGCTCACTGCTTAGCAGCATGGCGTTAGCAGGACAGCAGGGGCTAAAATCAGCTACAGCAACATGAATTGGAACCTAAATCTGCTAAGGAATACAGGGTGACCACTCAGGGCTGCTCCCTGCGTAAAACCAGAGATTCTGGCTGTACATCAAGAGCAGACAAACCTTCAAACACAATGAGTGGGAATTACTAGCAGATTCCCATGGGTTTGTTGTTGTTATATCACAGCATAAAGGACACAATGAAAGACTCACTGAATCCACACCGAACAGAAAGTGCCTGTGTTCTCACAACACAAGCCGCTTCCACAAAGAAAGAACATTTCAAAGAGTTTACAGAACCACCTGAGAAACCTGGCGGAATGGCGGCTGATGGAAGCGGTTGCTAGGCACCCTTTCTGACCAAATAATGGAGTCAAACCCCAGGGTAGCAATGAGTATAGTACACTGCACAGAGTGATGTCCTTAAATAAAGCACCAGATTCACTGAAAATAAGGTTATTGCACCAACTGAAACTAAGAGTGTTAATCCCAAAGACCTGGTCGAATTTCCGTTCAGACTGCAGGAGATCCCAAAGCCTGGCAATCGTCCCTGTGATTAATCTGATACTCAACTCACTTCATCACCTAAAATGCCAAAGATGTGTGGTGCACATTTTGGGAGAAAATGGTACAGAGCATCCTGTCTGTTGGTGCTACATGTCAGTGGTTAATAATGTGTCACTGCTCTAATAAATTTATTAGAAGAGAACTCTACAAAGCAAACACTGATTATCACATGAACATCATTTGATTTTTCTTAAAGACATGGACAGTTATTTCAAAATAATGGTCTTGATGCACTTGGCAAGAAATACAGAACATAATGGATATCCCATCCATTGGGACATAGGTCATTACATCCAAAATAAACATTAATCGACCGATTGCTACACAGGCATGGAAATTAGTTTATTTATATTTGCATGCGTTTGTTTAAAACTGTCAGCAGATGGTGCTGTTTAGAATTTCAGTATAAGTGGAACAAACCAGCTGATACTGTTTAGAAAAGCAGGGGGTTTGTTTAAACAAAAATAGTAAACATGTAATTTGGAACACTAGTAACTACTGTAATATAACTATAATCTGAAAATACATTAAAATATTTTTGCTGCTTTTTAATCTGTTTATGTGTGAAATCCTTGATTCTATTTCAGCAACATCTAAAGAACCATAAACATAACAAAAAAAGGTTCCAACTTGATCTTACCTAAGTAAATGTTAGTTAAAATTATTTGTGTCATATTGCAAAAACTGCAATGGGTTAAATCCTAAAACTCTATAGCACTCTTCATTGAGCCACACAAACAGCAGCACTTCTCTTTTGTGTACATATTCTAAAAAAAAAGCTAAAGGGAAGCTAAAGGGAACATGATATAACATATAAAAAAACAACAACCACACAAGACAATACAGAAACACAGAATAGAAATAAAGGTCATTCATTAAAATTGGAAAAATGTAAACACAGAGACCGGTCTACAGTAATTAGACATTAGAATGACTTTAAATGAAATAAAATTTGCATTAAAATCCCACAATCAATGGTTGAAAGCTTTAGAATGAAATTGAGGTACCCAATCAACAGGTCAGGGGGTACCCCAACAGCCATACCTCAAAAAATGTTAACGACAATTACTCTTTATTGATCTTCATGGGGAAATTCTCTTTTTGCCAACTCCATCTTGCTCTGCATTACATATAGGCACATATGTAGGTGAAAGCAAGCTGCAGCCACCTGCAGCAGCATCCAGCTCAGGGACGTAGCTATTCTTTCCCAAGGCCAGGCTTGAACCAGTGACCTTCCAATCTCAGGCACAGAGGCTTAGCCCACTGAGACACATACAGTACTGCTCCCAAGATAACAACTTGAAAATGTCTGTCTTTATTTGCTATCACAATAGGGCTGAACGACGTGGGGAAAATATCTAATTCGCGATTTTTCTGATAGACATTGCGATTACGATTTGATTTTCGATATAATTTTTTTATGTCAAGCTTCAGTTCAATATTCAGTCTGTAGTAAATGTAAAACATATAATGCAGCATTAGCACATGAGATACCATCAAAATATTAAGTAGTCTATATTCTAATGCAAGGATGAGAATTTAAAGATGTGGTGTGTTAAGTTAAAGTAATAATGAAAACAATTGCAGCAAAAAGAAAAACAATAGCGATCTGCAGGTAAGGCTGATTACCCCCGCTAATAACACTTTAACCACCTTTTCCCACACCAACGAACAAGTAAGAACTACTTCGGTGTATGCAGCCTAATGTGTTATTAGTGTTAATAACAGTAGTGAATCTAACACTCTCAATCAAAAAGCTGTAATGTTCATAACAGAGTGGCTGTTCTGTCCTGAAACCGTAAAGCTATAAAAATTTTTAAACGTAGTATGCATTTTATAAAATGGGAGCACGGCATGAATTTGTAAAAATATTCTCACAACGGTTTTAAATCCTGAGTCCGACGTGCTGTATAATGTATATCCTAAATCGCAGGCTTCGCGATTTCGATTTGAAATCTATAAATCGTCCAGCCCTATATCACAATAAATTCTTCCGACCTATTAAGACCAACCTGGAACAATTTTCAATTTTTACATACGGGTACCTAATTTCATTCCCCAAAATTCTCAGCTTAATCAAATTTGGCATTATGCATGTTGAAATTGTTGGAAAGTCAAGAAAAATCTTTACATTAGATTTCCCCTGGTTTCTCAGAAACCAAAAGGAACACATTTGTGATTAAATCACACATAAAACTGATTTCTTCTCTTAGGAAAAAAAAACCTACTCTACTGATGAATGGACTAATGGGTGTTCGTGTTTGTAATGCGAGCCGATGGTCATACAGCACATTTCTCTCGGGTTTAAAAAGCCCGACATTAGCAAATGCCTCCCTTTAGGCTTTTGGCAGCAGCCAAATCACCAATGCCCATCACCAATAGCAGCAGCTACATAACTGTCACGGTGAGTAACCAGATTGTTGCTGTAAGTGAAAACGAAGGCAACAATGCACAGCACAATTCTAGCTAAACATCCTTAGTAACAGTAACAGGATTTCGGTACCATCTTTATGCGAACATCAATTTCTGGGAAGGTTCACTGAACTTCATACATTTGATTTTTAAAAAGTATTTCAGCTGTGCAAAATGTAATGTAGTTCTTTAGATCGCATGCAGCCCCTGCATACCAATAAGTTCCTGATTGACTGTATGACAGAAGTTTCAACCGGGGCAAGATTCAGCAACATTCAGCTGGATTTCGAAACCGGGAGAATTACAGCGCTGCGATAGCTTTCGAAAGTCGCCCAAGGTCTTATAAAGCAAACACTTTACTAGTTGGTGCAGCTGATTTTGTCTGAATAAATAGTTAGTTAGTTTAGTTTAGTTTAGTTAGTTAGTTAGTTAGCAAGAGCGATCATTCACAACACTGATCCCTGACAGCAGCTCCGTAACCCGTCCAGCTGACGGAGCCCGATACCTTCGCCCGACGGTGCTGTCTGCTCTATCGCCCTCGGGTTCGGTCCTTCCGCCTTGTCCCAGCGGGCACACTGGTTCAGTCTCGGTGGGTTGTCGGGCCTTTGGCTCGCCCGCCTCCCACGCATCGCCTCGCCACCTTCGCCTGGGCACCGCTGGTTCCCTGTCTGTCATAGAACCGGCCCAGCGTTTCAGCTGCTCCCGACGCTTGGATTTAGCTGCGTCTGCCATCATAATTCGTGGGCACCCCTGGTCCCTTCGGTCCGATTTGACTGTCTCTTTTTCCGGTTCAGACTCAGCGTCCCGCTGTGTTTATCTGTCACTGGCACCGACAGCGGCACCTCACCCTCCCTCGCACAACTTCCTCGATTTGGTTTCCGCTCCCCGCACAAGCAGCGCGCAGGAGAACCAGCAGCCGCTGCAGCCAACGCCGCGTCATCATTAAGCTCCGAACCCCGCTCGTTCGCGCCGCGCGGGACATGCCCAAGAACGTCATCTTTGGCCGACCGGGCGGCATACGTGCATTCTTGCGTGCGCGCCGTATGGCCTGGTTTAAAATATAAACGCGCGTTTTTAATTCACTGTCTTTAATATGTGGTCCCAATTTAAAAGACGTATATATCAGTTATTAATGCAAGCTATATCTGACTACAAAACTGTCTAGAATTAGCGTTTTTACATGTTACTCAGTATCTATCAGAAACCTATATCCCTTTATGAGTATAGACGTATGGCCGTGATATTGTAAAAAAATTACATACTTTAATAGGCTATTTACTATACTAAATGTATTACCAGAGTCTGGCAGACCACAGAATGGCCGATTAGCCCGAAAAAAAATAATTTATTTTACTGATAAATTACTTCCTGGTATTACTCCGACAGGAAATTTGGGTAAATTGATGGCGGGCGGGCTGTCAAAGGTGTAGAGTGATGTTGTCTTCCTGATTCTCCACAGGGGGTTACTGACTTAGTTCGCATATTCTCTATAACTGATTATTATTAATAATAATAATTGGCTCAATATTAAACAATGAAGACTAGCACGGTTAAATTTCCTCCGGATACAGCGGTTTTTTCCTCTAATAGAAAAAGATGCAGTTAGGCGAAATGGTAACAATTTTCCCATATAAATCGATGGCATATGGGAAATGTGCCCTGTGCTTCTGGGGTGCAGGCTGCAAGCTTTTCGTGATCGGATGCGGGATTGGTGGTTGGAAAGACGCAGTACAAACAACATAGAAACCATCACACACAGAAATATGGCATAAGAGTAATGAAATTTCAAATATTTATTTAACAAATGAACAACACACAATTTCCTCAAATGATTTTGTGCTTTGTTAATGCACACCCTGTGAGTACGACACTAATCATCCAGTGGAGGTCGCTGTTGCATCATTGATAAATGTCACTGGTAAATCACGCATTTCTCAAATCATAAAAAAACTTGATACAATAGGCCCTTTTGAAGGCTTTGATCTGAAACAAAATGATGACGGTTTTTTTCATGTTACTACGGTGGCCGAGAAAACCCAATGCGATTCAAAATAAAGACGCGAAAGCCCAACGAAATTCAAAATGAAAACGTCTAGTAGAAAAACACGTTGCAAAGCAACAAAGGATATTATTCAAGTTCATAACGCATATGCAAACACACTCAAAATGCGTAGACGCTACACAATCATGAAGATGACAACACATGCAAACCACATTTTACAAATATGCTGCACATTCACAGACACGCTGCAAAAACAAAAAACAACTGCAATTTTGGAAACACACTGCAAATAGCCACAACACAACGGAAGTGTTTCCGGAGGACACTTTTTTTGGGCGCACTTTTCAATTGAGCCAATGATGCTAATTTACATGTGAAAAGTTACAGTGGAAACCGCTTATAGTGATTACTTCTGTCTCGTAAGTGGGCTACACTCCCCCACCTCAACATCTCTTTTGAATCTCACTCTGTTGCTGTCACATACCCAACTAAACTCCACATCGTTGTTCTTTATCGGCCTCCAGGCCCACTAGGAACCTTCATTGATTGATTTCCTTCTGAACTCCTTTCCAGATAATGGTTCCCCACTCATTATCCTTGGTGACTTCAACCTTCCGAGAGATGGGATACACACCAGCGGCCTCATGACACCTCTGTCGTCCTTTGGCCTATCTCTGAATCTCCTCCTACACTCAAAGCAGGCAACACTCTTGACTTGGTATCATTCAGATCACTTCCCATGTTCAACATATTGTCTACGTCTTTACATGTCTTGGATCATCATCTTCTGTCCTTCAGATTTCCACTTCTGCCCGGGCCTGTGCCTGGTGGGGGTCGGGTCGGTGTCTGCCATTGGGGCCCTCGGGTGCTTGTGGGGTGGTTGGGGGGAGCCTCTGCCTCGCTTGGGGGGTGGCCGGGGGGCGGGGGTCACCCCGCCTGGCCGGACTGGCTCCCCGTTTGCCGGGGGGCCTGGGGTTGTCCCGTCCTTGGCTGCTAGCTGGGGTCTCATCGGGCGTGGTGGGGCGGGACTCTCCCGGTCTGCGCCTGGGGGGGGGGCTCCCTGCTGTCGGGCTGCCTGTGGCACCCCTGAACACCCTGGTTGGCCGCCCCTGCTGGCTGTGCGGGGTCGGGGATGGGGACTAATCGGGGCCAGTTGGGGATCTGGCCCCGGTGCGGGGGTGGGGCCCACTCCTGGCACTCCCTTATTGCTCCCCTGGGTCCAACACCACATTTCACACAACACTTGGGCCTTGAGGGGCAGTGGGGAGGTGTGCTGAGATATACACAGTCCATATTACATTAGGGACGGGGAGGCGTCTTTCTCCATCTTTCTCCATCTTTCTCCATCTTCCCTCTCCTCTGCTATCCTGTCCTCCTTATCTCTCCCTAACTGTGCCAATCCTTGTCCACTAACTGTTGAATCCGCTACCGATGACTTTCTCTCCTCTCTCCACAACTCTATTAATCTACTCTGTCTTCTGTCATCCAAGCCAAAACGTGCTTCCCCCTCGACCCCATGGCTGTCTGAAACCCTACGAAGCAATCGGAGAGAATTAAGAGCAGAGGAAGGAAGATGGAGGAAAACACACCACAACCATGACCTCCTTTCTTATCGTTCTCTTCTATCTAAGTTTGCCACTGATTTATCTTCTGCCAAATCTTCCTTCCACAGAACCAAATTCAAAGAATCTGCATCTAATCCTCGCAAACTTTTTGCCACATTTTCTTCACTACTCAAATCTCCATCCCCTTCTGCTTCCCCAGCTCTCACATCAGAAGACTTTGCTGCATTCTTTGAGGAGAAGATCGCTACTATCAGAAGCTCCTTCCCTCCGACTGACAAGCTGCCCACCTGCTCACAACCTGCCTGTGCTGCCCAGCTTCTTGACTTCACTCCACTTTCCCATGAGGACGTGTCTCAGATCCTGACAGCCAGCAACCCCGCAAAACATGTTCACTTCACCCAATCCCTTCTGGCATGTTGCAGCTTATTTCTCAGGATCTTCTCCCACTCATCACACACAAAGTCAATGGCTCCTTAATGACTGGCAATATTCCGACTGCCTTCAATTCAGCAGTCGTCACTCCCATTCTAAAGAAACCCTCTTCGGACTGCTCAGATGTTAACCACTACAGACCAGTGTCCCTGCTCTCCTTTCTTTTGAAAGTACTTGAACGAGAAGTTTATAACCAACTTAATGCCTTTCTCTCTGAAAATGCACTTCATGACCCTCACCAGTCTGGATTCAAAGCTGCGCATTCCACTGAGACTGCACTTCTTGCCGTCTCTGAAAAACTTCATGCAGCCAAACCCTACCAACCTGTCCTCAGTTCTCTTGGACTTGTCTGCAGCCTTTGATATGGTCAACCACCAGATCCTCCTGGAAACTCTCTCCAGCCTTGGGATTTCAATTACTGTCTGGCGATGGTTTGCATCTTACTTTGATAACCAGTCATCTCAGGTGGCATGGCAAGGCTCCTAATCAGCCCCAAGAAGGCTGGCCACTGGAGTTCCTCAGGGCCCAGTCCTAGGACGTCATCTCTTGTCCTTATACACGGGTTCTCTTGGGAAGGTCATATCTGCACATGTGCTCTCCTACCACTGTTATGCAGATGACACTCAACTCTTTCTTTCCTTTCCACCTGATGACCATTAGGTCTCAACTTGACTCTCAGACTGCCTGACTGATATCTCCTCTTGGATGACATCCCACCACCTCAAGCTAAACCCCAATAAGACTGAACTCCGACTCTTGACCTTACCATTTCCTTTGAAAACTCTCTTATTGTTCCCTCAAAAACAGTAAGTCCCGGTGTCATTCTGGATGATGAATTGTCATTCTCATCACACATTAACAACCTCTCCAGGTCCTGCAGATACCTTCTCTACAACATTAGAAGGATTCATCCCTTTCTCACGACAGACGCTACTCGTCCAATCCTTGGTTATCTCCAAGTTGAACTACTGCAACTCCCTTATGGCTGGTCTTTCACTGAAGGCAACAAGGTCACTTCAACTGATCCAGAATGCAGCTGCAAGACTCATCGTTAATGTCTCTAGATTCTCGCACATCACACCTCTTCTTCGGAACCTGCACTGGCTCCCTATGGCTGCTCGCATCAGGTTCAAATCCCTAACACTTGCCTTTAAAGCCAAGACTGGAACAGCTCCTCCTTACTTGGCAACACTGATCAAGAATCGTGTCACTTCTCGTCCTCTCAGAGCATCAAGCACTACTCATGTTGAACCACCAACACTTAAAAGAGGACAACATGCATCGAGACTTTTTGCAATGCTGGCTCCTCAGTGGAGGAACGAATTCCTCTTGCTATAAGAACAGTCGAGTCCCTTCCTGTGTTCAAGCATCATCTGAAGACACACCTATTCAAGGAGTACCTAGGAGACTAATACTCCCTTATTATCCACTCTATCTGTTTAAAAAACAATCCCATTAACATTTTTTTCCTGTGCACTGCTTTTTCCTAACAAGTTTTTTTTTGTTTAATATAAAATGTACTTAGCGCTAACGACCTTGATGACAGTTGACAAAATTATTCCTGTACAAATACTGTTATAGTAATCAAGTAATCCGCTTACAGTGGACATTTTGGGTCTTTTTAAACATAACATATGAAAAAATTAAACCAGGGATAATTTTTTTTTTTTACTTTGATCGCCCTACTTTACCTTGCGGGAACCCGTCTGCTTCTGGATATAGCTCCTTGGTGACCAGCTAATGAAAAAGAAAGTAATTTTCTCTCAATGACAAATACAGAATTATTGAAGCTTATGATAAACTGTCAAAAACAAGCCACTGAGATGCAGCAATAAGCTATAATAAGCAATAATTTTATGTAGAACTCAAATTTCTTAAAAGTCGAACCAACCAGTTCGAAAAAAAAAAAAATACCTAGAACTCGATCTGAATGTCAGAAGTCAAACCGT